TATATATATTACATATATATATGTATAATAATACTTGTTTATTGGATTAATTTAAGCATGATCATATATTTTAGATTTTTCAACTTGTAGAAAATAAAAAAAATAAAAAATTAAAAACATGATGTTATTATTTATTTATTTATTTATTATGAAAAATATTTGTGTGATTCATTTTAAAACATTTTATATCTAATTTCAATATTATTAGATTTAATTGAAGTACAAACGTTCTGTACTTTTTAATTGCTTGTATTAAAAAATTAGTCACAAGATGAACATGTGCCAAATCATTGAATAATGGGGGTTGCATAGTTATCGATAAACTAAATAAATACGTCTTATACTTTTAATTTTTGTATTAAAAAAAAAGTCACAACTAATGAACACGTGTCAAATTTAAATAACTAATGATCACGTGTCAAATTTAAATAATGGTTGTTGGGTAGTTATCGAAAAACTAAATAAATATTATTTGAGGTAGTTAATATTAATATTATGAACACGTGTCAAAAGAATGTGAAGGCTTTCCAAAAATAGTAAGAGTGTTGTAGGAACTATATAAAACTTTCTAAATATGGCAAATGAGTTGCCTAATTATATATAAATTTATGTTGTTCTAAGAAATAATATATATATATATATATATATATATATATATATATGATTGTTAGCAAATAAATTAATAAAACCTCAATAGTTTTCACTCCAAAAAATAAAATAAAATAAAATTATAATTCTACTTTTTTTTATATATTCTATGAAGAGGGACAAAGAATTTAATGCTTTTTTTTTTTGCTTCCCACTCTTTTTTAGGACAATTATGACAAAAACATCAAATTTATATTAACCAAATAATAATTATAGATATTTTTAATTATTTTATTGTATAATAGTTATTATTGAAACAAACTAAATATTACACTGAAAGTTAAAAAATATTACATTGTAATTTTTTTTTCTTCATTTTTTTTTTAATTTTAAAACTGATATTATAGTTTTATTATCTCATTAAGTGGTTATTTCCCAAGTAAAAATTAGTGTTAGTGATATAGGCAAACCCTTCAAAATAGTAAATTTAATATATTTTTTTTTTCAACTGGTTAATTAGTCGTGATCCCTTAAAACTATAAAAAATTGCATTATTCATATATTTTATTCAATCATTAGTGTTTTATATGCAGTTAAAATAGTTTTGTACTGTTTATTTTTACTAATATTAAAATTTTAAATTATCTTATCATTATATAAGTTATAATTTTAATATTATACGCACATGCATCTAATTATAATACTTTTATTTATGTTTGTACATATGCACAAGATCAAAAACATTATTAATTTTGCGCTGCATTATGTTGGCGTTTTTCTTTTCTTTTTTTCCCCTTATTGCTGCATGATACGATATTTGGACCACATGGAAGTGATGAATGATGATGAGTGGAACCTTGTGAGAAATTATTAACGGAGAAATAAAAGTTGTGGGGGTTGCTAGAGCAATTAATGTTTTGCCGCAAAGTTGTTGAAATGTTTTGCCATGTATTATATTCCAATATTTCAAATTATTATCTTGAATTTTGATGCACGCAAGTGAATATTTATGTATATAAAAAATTAGATAAGAAGATTACTTTTATTTTGATTTTGATGGTGTATAAGGGATCACAAAGAATCCTATAACGGCCCCATTCGGCTATTAAATTGCCAGCTAGTATTTGTTAAATTATATTCGGTTTTATATTCTCAACGGTTTTTTTTTTTTTATTGGATAATATCTACTGTTCTAAAAAATTGGTCTAGACGGTCGACTAAGCGGTAGGCGGTGTCCAGTCCCCTCCGATTTGTACAATCGGCCGAAACAATCGGCAAGGTGGCCCTGAGCGCTCCTAGGCGGACTTAGCGGGCTCGACGGCGCCTAGGCGGGCATAGGCGGAGTTATGCGCTCCTAGGTGGGCTCGGCGGCAATTATTTAATTTTTTTTAAATATTAATTACATTATTTATCCTCATGTTTTCTTTAAAATATATTAATATTATTATTTGGACTTAGGTGTGTTGATTTATTATAAATTTAGATAGTTTTATTTTGTAGGTAGTTAAAATTAATGAAAATTAAGGTATTTGATAGATTTCAAGGCCCCGCCTAGGCTCTCTAGGTGCTAGGCACTGTGATGAAGATCGTGTGTTTCGATTGCCGATAAGCCACGAATTCGCGTCTTGAATCGCCGATAGGTGTTTCTCTAGCCACAACCGCGCCTATTGAAACGAATAAAATTGCAATAGAAATCTAGAGGAAATCTAAGACAAAGTGTTTGAACAGAAGTTCGAATTTTTA